CATGAGGAACGAAGTTGTTTAAAGGGTCACGTGATAACCTCATGGTCGCTAGGTGGTGGTTCTTCTCTTCTCCCCGCTCGATGCATGTCGGCAGAGCCAAAGCACAAGCGGAGAGCTAACTACAGTATATATTTTGCGCGCTGTAGGAACGAATCTACAAAGTGCAGCATGTAGACTAAAGTGCTCTCGTTGCCTACGTTAATGTTTTTATCCACGGACGGCATTTTCCTTCATGGCACGCAACAGACGGTGAGGCGACGATGTATGTCAGGAACACAAATGTGATTTTTTTTACTCCACTGTTCTTGTAGTGAGCGCGTTGGGATAGTGCTTGTGAGCGCCGCAAGCGTTTGTAGGGGATGGTGGGGATGGGGACAAGGGGGCGAGTCGAGACGGGTTGAATTTTGTGCATAAAGCATAACCAAGTACTTGGATGGACTGGGTGGGTACACGCCACCTCTCCTTCTTAGCAAAGGGCTCGTGCCAGGCAGCTACTAGGCAGGTGTAAGATGTGTTTTTCAAGTGAAAAATTTTCACGGGGGTCCATGGAGCGTGTACGGCAGCAGTGACCACCGACCGACGTTTGGATGTCGTAGCCGCTGCTGCTACATGCCGTGTTGTCCAGATGGCGTGTGTGTGTGATAACACTCTTTGCATGGTTGGCAACGAGTTGTAGAGAATCGTCGATAACGACGTTTGTTTTTCGGTTGGCGCGCAGAGAAGAAGCAGCAGGAGATGTGTGCACAAGTGATCGACTGTGAACGGCAGACAGACTTACGTCGATCACCCTGTAGGTAAAGTATGCGAAATAGTTCATTTCCCTCTGGTGTGAGAGCGCCTGTGCCCTGTCATTCGTGCTAAGAGCAGTCAATTACATTGTACACACAAGGAAAACTTCCTGTCTGTGCTGACCTCTTCGCCCGTGGTTTGCTTGCCACGTAGCGTCGGCATGGAGTGCCCAGCGCACGCCGCGCGGAGCAAAGCTCGATTGATTGCATTGTGCTGTAAATAGCAACGTCGAGAGACTACAACATCTGCAGGCCTTCTTTCTATGTCCAATCTAATCCTCTCGGTTCACGAACGAACATTATCGCGGTTCTTGGTTATCGACTCTGGAAAAGCGTCCGTCCGAGGCGGTGGCAAGGGCAAGACAAAAGGAAGCACGAAACAGGAAAACCCGTTGACTTGTCATGACGGGCCGCGAGCATGAATGCATGTATGCATGTTGCGGGGGTCCTCCCTTCGGGCGAAATTGAGCGCTGTCTGTCGAAAAACTATCATGTGCCTTCACAAGGAAAGCGCCATTCAAAATAATGGAGGCACTAGAAACAAGGGCTGCGTTCTTCATTACAAGCATATAACAATTTCATGATCACTGCGTGCCGTTTTCCCTGACCGCTCATCTCTCTGGTAAACGCTTCCCGATCAGGCCCGTCTCAGACGTGCTCAGGCAAGCGAAGCGAGGCCCGCCTCAGGCCCAAACAATCAGATGGACTGCGATGTGGTAAGCGCGTCGCCACTCCGTATTGTAGGACACGCATCGCATCTACGTGTCATAGGCTCTTGGGAGTCGTCCTGTCCCGAACCTAAAAACGCCGTAAACTTGAAGTGGAGAATAATAGGCTTCAGCACGCTGCTTCTGTTTTACACCGAAACACCACCAACGCCCTCTCGTGGCTTTCATCTTTCCGCGTCATTTCTTCGCCGAACAAACCAACCCCCCAACCCCCCCCCCCCCCCCCCCCCCCCCCCCGACTTCTGCATTCTAGGTAACCCACAGCGGGTTCCTGTCGAGCCTCTTCAAGAGGGTCGTGTTGTCGCCACGGGACACAGCCAGAGGCTTCAAGAATTGTGAGCTTCGGANCAAGCGTGTCGGCCAGAAACATCAACTAAAGTTTAGCTTACAACGAAAAAATTGTTGCCCTCGACTATCATGACATCACCCAGCGTCGAACCAATCGTCTTCAACGACACCCCAAGCCCCAAATCGATTGCACGTCAAGAGAAGGAAAGGCATCCGTCTATGCGATTGAGTGACCGGCCCTGGATGCCTCACTCCCCCGCGGCCTTTTCGTCTTCATGTCCTCCATTTCCACGAGACACTCCTATGAAACTCTACTTCTCGGTAAACACAATTTTACACAAAACACCACAATCAACGAGTGACGTCATTATTTGTCTCTGTTTCTCACCGACCCCCCCCCCCCCCCCCCCCCCCCCCCCCCCCCCCCCCCCCCCCCCCCCCCCCCCCCCCCCCCCCCCCCCCCCCCCCCNCCCCTCCCTCTGAGAAACAAAAACAAAAGTGAATCATAGAATCAATACACAAACGATCATCTATCAACCAACACGTCATTAGATGTTGTCCGCTTGTTGGCAGCGGTATCACCCACGCCGCCAGCTACACGCACGCAGGCCGCATCGTCACGGACCAGACAATCGCTAGATGAGGCAGAGGCTGCCGTGATTATGCACCCCGCGAATAGAAACACTCCGCTCTCGACATTCGGCAAAGAAAGAGAGGCAGACAGACAGACAGATGGTTTGGTCCTGCCCGCCGCTTACCGCGTCCGTCCACCAACAAAATCAAAACCGCGCGTCGTGTACACGAAACGATCGACGCAAAAGAAGCAGCCAGCCATTCCCGCCTTGACGGAGATAGCCATGATGACACATAGAGGAACGATGATTATAACGAGGTCTCAGCCAGGCAACACTCAAACACGCACACAACCACGATATTGTAACAAAAAAAAATGTCCTCCTACAAACACGAGCTTGTCGCCCTACACCGCTGCACTCTATTCGTGAGCTGAAAAACACTCGCACGCGCGCAGGGAGGTGATAGCGTGCCTATACCATTTGGGCCTGAGTTGCTTGCTCGCTTGCGGTGGTCGGCCCCGAACCCGTCCTCTCCCAAGACACGAAAGCATTCTTCATCAAACCCCCAACGCGCTCGTTGCGGAAAAACGTGCCCCGTGCAAAGGCTACTCCACACCGACCTTCCTTTTCGACTGCAGCTGTAGCGCGACAGAAGGTTTCTCTACACCTCAACCATACGACCATCGCGTGCCGTTCTCGGAGCTCTTTTCCCATCGTGAAAAACAAACAGCCAGCCAGCCTTTCCTTTCACTTATTCTTTCTGGCCGTGTCCCTATCTCCTCTCTGCACAAATTTAAGCTTTCCGAGCACGACTTTTCTGGTGGTCCCATCAACGAGCAAGCAGTAACAGCAGCAGCAACAGCTCCTCTTGCTTGTCCCTGCCCCCGTGCCCGCCGGGAAAGCTAACTGCGGGCATCAAACCTCGCGTCAGAAACTGGAATAGACAAAAAACAAAAAAAACGGTGGTCACATCCATCACCGGAGGCAGTACCACCAACGCCCACGTAACCCCGAGTTATTATTTCCTATCGGCGGGGGGATTTGGAGCGCCTGTCCTTGCTCGCCCTGTCGTCTGCCGTAGAGGGGACGGCGGATGAGGCAGCGGCGGCCGCCGCCACCGCGCCGTGCCACCCGCTGCCGCCGCCGTCGTCCCTGTTCCGCTTTGCCCCCCTGCTGCCAACGGCCCCGTGCCCTTCGCCGTTCGGGCTTCTGTTCCCGCCGGGGCTGGGGCTGGAGTTGCTGCTACCGCCGCTGCCGCTGTTGCTCCGCAGCCTGCTGCGGATCTTACCACCGCTGCCGCCACCGCCTCCGGCAGCCGCTGCCGCCTGAATGCTCAGCCCTCCGCTCGAACGACCGCCGCCGCCGCCGCCGGCCCTCCCGCTACCGCCGGAGCCGGAAACACTCCCTCTTCCCTTCGCTCCTCCTCCTCCGTCACCGCCCCCTCTTTGCGCAGCAGAGTCCGTAGTGGGAGGTAGATGCGGTTGCGGCTGGGCTCGGCTGCTTTCTCTGCCCCCCTCGAGAACATGAGGCTTCATACTTCCTGGTCGTTCCCCCTCCTCCTCCTGCGTCGTTCCCACCATGCCCTTGGCCCTCCACTCCGCCCTGGCTCCGTCCAAGGACGGAGGTAGCGCCGGCGTCGCCGTCATCGACCGCGGCCGTTTTCCTGACCCGCCGGCGCCATCAGCGGGAGTACTGCTAGTAGCGGTGCCTTGTGGGGGAAGCCCATTCGGCCCGGCCGCCGGGATCAGTCCAGCCTGGGAACGGGAAGACCCGCCGCCGCCGCCGCTGCCGTCAACTTCCACCCATGTTGATACACCTTCCCCGCCCTCACCACTCACCCCGCGTCCGGCGGCGGCAGCGGTACGGTTGTCTGGGTGCTTTGCGTCGCCGACGACTGCTGTGCTCTGTGGTCTCTTCGTGCTCTCAACCGCGGCGGCGCCTACAGGCGGTACTTCCACCGCCTTCGGTGCAGCGGTGATTCCTCCACCCTTGCCGCTGCTCAACTCTTGCCGTGCGTCGGCTGGGACACCTCCTCCTGCTGCTGCTGCTGCTGCTGCTGCTGCTGCTGCTGCTGCTGCTGCTGCTGCTGTGGGCCTTGACCGCTGAGCAGGGGCCTCCGTAGAACGTACCGCGTCACTTACCATGGGCATGGCATTTTCCCCGCCCCTCTCGCTGCTGCCACCTGCGCCAATCGAAGCCGCGGAAGCACCTTCCGGCGTTTCCGCTGCCCCCGCCGCAGGGGTTGCTGGTATCAGAGGTAGACCAACGCTCGCCACGCCCCCACCAGCACCACCTGTGCCATCCTCTTCTCTATTCCGCTTGGCCGCCGCCTTGGCCCAGTCCTCGTCCGCGTCTTGGTCCTCTTCCCTCTTACGCTTTGCCGCCACCTTCGCCGGTTCCTCTTCGTGCGCCGGAACAGCAGCCGCGCCTCGCGCCGTCCCTGAAGCCTCCGCGCTCGGCCCGGCCGCCGCCATCGCCGCAGCAGCCGCAGCCTCGTCGCCACGGCCTGAATCCCTCTCGCCATCGATGACGCGGTGGCGGTCGCCGGCGCTGCCGCTTCCGCTCGTCCCTCCGGCTCCGCCATCGCGAGCCTTTTCCTCCGGCACAGCCACGGCGGAGATTGCTGCGTCGCCGCCTTGAGGGGATGGTACGCCTTCGTCCCCGGGACCACCACTACCCGCCGCCTCCAACGGGATCCCCTTCTCCGGAGGACGACTACCACCTCGATCGCGCTCGTTTACCCCCCCCGCCAAGTGCGGGTGAGCTGACAGAGAAGGAGGATCCACGTCCATAACGTTCACCACCTCATTGGCAGTGTCACCGCCTTCCTCCTCCTCAAGCTGCTGCTGCCGCCGCCGCTGCTGCTGCTGCATCTCCTGCACGCTGTTGAGCGAAGCCGGCGGGACGGGCTGGCAGTACCGGATGTGGTTGCGCGGGTCCCCGAGAGAGAGGAACTGTCTCGCGGTCGGCGGGGCGGCGGGGCGGTGGGGCGGGGGG